GAATGCTTTGAGAAGACTTAGTGACCCATCGTCTCTTAACAAAGTTTTCGCATACACTGGAAGAAGGTCTAAGTCATGCTTAACTCTTTCCTTTGGAACTGCTGCCGTTGATTCAGGTACTCCTTGACAATGCCTGTAAACTGGCATTAAATAAAAATTTATTTATTTATTTATTTTGCTGGCGACTGAACCTAGTGCTCGTTGTTGTCCCACATCTTTTGAGTGACTGAGCGTTCATCCCCAGTTTACTAGTTTCGCTGGTTTCGGATGAACTAGCTATTGGGCTAGCGAAACTGAGATCCGTGTACGATTCATTTATCTTCCTGTTGATAACCCTTCCTTCTGTGTTTCTGAGGTGTTCGTCGAAAAAGTTTACCTCAGTTTCTTTCGAAACCTCCTCCTGAATATTCGGTCCACAAGGTGTTTCAATATCTTTATTTTTCAACATCTAGCGGTCCTTCGTAGGCCTCCTGGTCGTTCTCCTTCGCTGGTCTGCGTGTACGTAGGCGGCCTTCGTTTTTTTGGACCGTACAGAGGTGCGCGTTGTTTTTCTGGAATGTTTCTTTGTTATCTGAGTTCGCTTTGGCTGGTCTTTTTCTCGCCTAACAGACTGGCACTCAACTGTGTCTAGTTCCCTGGACGAACATTCGTCAGTTTCAGAGTTTGATATGGCTAAAGAAGCCGTGGTTGCATATGTTTTTTTCGGATTCTGAATTGCCGAATTCGTCGGCTTCTTCTCTTCACGTAAGTGGTGAGTAAGCTGCCTTAACTTTTCTACCTCCATTTTTAGACATTTTAACTCCCCCTCCATTTTTGAAAACTTATGGACGAGTCCGAAACATGTGGTACAGATTTAATCGTCGTATGTGACATCCCCCAACGTCACTAGACTTTTTGCTCGTTTTACGGGCATTGGTCTGACAGCAGAACGTCCAACACTGCAGTCATTACTATCATGCGTAATACAAGATGTACTATTATTTTTGACGACGTTGGCTCGAGTCAGTGGCTTAGTGGTAACAACGGTTGTCTGTCCGACCGATGGACCGGGTTCAAATCCCGTCTTGGACATGCATCTTACACCGTGTTTTCAGGGCATTTCTCTGAATAACATTACCAAGTTCACAAGTTTAAAACGGTTTTCTTAAAGGTACGACACGCATTTTCAACCAGATCGAGGATATGAGGTAAACGACTCAGCCTTTCGTAGGCTTCGGGGATTGCTCAGTGCTGTTGCAGAGAGGCGACTGGACGAAGATAGGTTATCCCTCACAAGTCCTGGTGTGGTTGAAAGGAGACAGGTTTTCGAACCAGACTCCCGTTGAAATTCTGCGAGAATCGAGATATTGCTATGAAGAAATGAACTGTTAAATCCGAGAAGCCGTCAGGGTGTCCAGGACTCAGTAGACTCGGAAAAGTTAAATCCCTCGGAGGTCGAAAATTTCAAACCAAATTCAAAAGACGCAAAATTTTCCTCGTTTTCGCTAGTTAGGCTAAGATGGATAACAAATTGCCAGTACAAAGCTCGGCGTTCCCATTGGATGGCACACGCAAGTTTGCCATTTTAGATTCTCCAATTCTATTGGTCCAGGACACTTTTAACTGTCGTTCTCATTGGATCTCGCCAAATTAAGTCAATAGTTTTCGACTAACCATTGGGTATTTCGGTTTGCCTACCAGCGATCTAGTAGAGACCAGTTTAGGCCAGAATGTCAATAAAAAGGGTCCCGAAGATTCTATTGGCTACGATTTACATTCTAGTATTCTTGCAATTGATTTACGCATACCCATTGGCCTATTTTTATGTGAACCTTTCCCAATCGTCTGGAGGCCCTATAAAAACCGAGGAGGATTGACGTTGACCACCTTTGGACCGGAGGACTCCTTCTGGACGCCACCGCTGCTCCTGCATCGTCTTCGCCGCCCGGATCAAACGAGGCTTGCATCCAAACAAGCCTGTCTTCTCCATAGGACATCCCGCTGTTCCCGAACTGTCAATATCGTCTGCTGTCGTTTACAAATAATTCCCCCCTTAGGAGCTCGCCTTTCTTTCTTACTGGGGACCAGACGGGGCATAGCATAGCGTTATTAACCCTCATCTCGGCCAGGGTCGCTAAAAATTGGTGAAAGTCGGTGGGATCGTGCCATGTTAGACGAAATTTTGGATCGACTCGTCAAGGCGATAGAGAAGTTGTCTTCAAATAGGGACCTACTTCCAAAGCCAGAAAAACTGACGATATATGACGATTATGACCTCTGGGAGGACCGAATGAATTTGCACCTCGAGTCCGTCAGCGAAGGGAACCGATCACTGGCCATCCTTGGCCAACTGGACAGTGAGGTCTACGCCGTTGCCAGAGCGGCCAGTATCACTCCTTCGCTGACTACCGCGACAATTTTCGAGCGTATTCGGCGAGAGTTCGGTCGCTCTTCCATGCCAAGGGTTGCTCGCGCAACACTGACGGACCGTCGCCAGCATTCTGGAGAGTCCGTGGTCGACTCCCAGCGACACTTGCGTGTCCTGGCCAAGCACGCATATCCAGACGACTCTTGCGCTGCCCTGGAAGACAGGATTCGCGATAACTTCGTCGATGGTGTTGCCAACCCCGACATCCGTCGCAAGTTCATGCTGGATCCACCCAAAACTCTCAAAGCGGCACTCGACATCGCCCGCGATGACTCAGCTTTAGATTAGTCTGATCTTCCCAAGAGTAAACGATGCCTCCATTAGGACATTCCTTCTGCACAGAACGATCCGCGACCAGTCGATGTCCGAGTGCAAACTCGACACCGTCATCTTAATGTAGAGCCCTCCAGAGAATCCAGTCCATTGCGTAGTTGAGCAGAATGGGCGACAGAATATAACCCTGTCGAACGCCAGACCGAATACCACACGGTTGGGAAAGGTTGTTGTGAACCGGGACTCGCGCAGTGGTGGAACGATAATAGGTCTTGACCATGGCGATGAGTTTTGCTGGTATGCCATATAATGCTCTTATCCGCCACAGAGACTCACAGTGGCCGAAATCGAACGCGGCGGCAAAGTCAGCAAAGCAGACGGCCGACAGTTGCTGGTGGCCAGAGCGGAATTCGAGAATGCGCCTCAGTGTGAATGCCTAGTCCGCACATCCACGTCCAGCACGACATCCGTCTTGGTTAGGCCTCATCCCAGAGTCGCACACAGCCTGAGGCCATTTGATAGAAACACTAGCGGAGATCTTCACACCATTGTCAATGAGACTCATACCGCGGTAGTTCTCGCATCTTGTCTTATCTTTCTTCCTGAGAATAGGTGCTTCTGTTGTGTGATGTTAGGTGTGGTAACGTGCGTTGTAGGTGCTGGTGAGGAGAGATGTGGTTGCATGGTATAACCGGCGGTGTTCTACTACAGGTTTTCATAAAGGGGCATGCGGTCTAATAGGCCCATGCGATGGTTGAATGTGCGAGGACAATACGAACAATTGAGGTGATGGCCTTTGGTGCATGCTGATGCTTCAGGCACTGGTTCGCCGGTCTCTCTGCGTGGGATTCGCAAGTGACTGACCAGGCCGATGTGTGAGGTGAATGTGGGATAGCAGTGGGCACAGGCCAGGACCGAATTCACGTCGCTAGAAATGGGGTGGTGGTTCGTGGGCCGTCGAGAGAGTTTTTTTGGTGGTAGGAGTGGGAGATGTGGTGGTGACCGTCATCTCCGCCGAGGTTGTGACAGGGATGATGGAGATGATTGTAACCGGTGGCGAAGCACGGGGGCGTTGAA